CCTGTAAACAATCCAGGAAAGGACGGAATTACGAAAAACGTACCATACAGCCATAACTGCGACAAGAGCGACAATTGTGCCTTGCGTTAATTTTGAGCTGCAAAGTGGTGGCTCCACTCGATGACATGATGGATTTCGACAGTGCCAATGTTTCTCACGACTCCTACTTCGTTCCTTTCCATCCCTGGAAATTAACAGTTTATAGATGAACAGAAATTTTTCGAAAATTAATTTCAGTTTCAGATGCTTCATGTAAAAGCATTCTCTGACTTGGCGATCAATTAATAATCATTTTACTCGAAAACATGCCAAATAATGCTGAGAATATGAGCTTGAGCTGGCATCGGACTGAAAGAAACTACAGCATACTTTAAAAACTTTATTCCAGCCCAACCAGCGAGGGCCTATTTGGCACCAGTTAATAGTAGTCCTAAGGCAGAAATCTTGGCTAGAAGATGAAACACAGACTGCTTAAAGTGGTATAAAACTTCATGTTCATTGAACCTACATTGAATAAACATCAAAGAAAACAATCAAAATCCTCCACTGCACTTCATTTGAAAGACCGGAGGCAGTTAGATGCTCAGCAGCACCTGTTCAACGTATCAATGTATACCTTTTTTTAGCCGAAATAATCCGCCGTTAAGGTATTTGATAATAAAAATCCTCCTCTCTTATCGCACTTTTACTGCAGCCTTGCATAATCAGTCATAGGTAAATTCAAAAAAAGTAAGTAAGGAGGCACTGTACGGATGATTCTATCTTCTACCCGTTTAGATGCGCGCTCACTCTGTGTTTGTGGCTAAATGATTAAGTACAAGCTGCTTCTTAATATGTCCATTAAATATATGATTTGTAATTTGTTCATGTAATGATTATTATGATTCGTGTAAAGGCGAAGTCTTTGCTTTGCCTATGAAAGATCACTCAACATTTTTTTTTTTATTTTCATATTTTGTATATAGCTAGGCAAGGTGAAGACTTCGCTTTTACATATGTAATCACTAAATATACGTTTATTAAAAGAAAGTAAGCAACAACAGGGATATCTTACGTCTTTGCTTAAAGATTTTGTTGAGGAACCCACCTGTGATGGCACTTATCACGCGAAATACACGATGGGGCACTGGAAGCTAGCGATGTGCGTGATGACATGAAACTGGCCTTATCCGAGAAGCCGAGATCACTGAGACCACTAGCCAAACTGCCAATGTCACCCTTATTTTTGCGTCGATGTAACCTGGCAAGTTTGTGAGACAGCTTCTCAACTGCCTCAATCTTGTGCTCCAAATTGCCCGTGAGACGGCACAGCTCTGTTGCTGCCGCAACTGTTTCGTAAAAAATACGAGAATCATCAACCTGAAACACGTGCATGTTTACTTACATAAGATGGAAATACAGGATAACCTGCCATGTGGTGGAAGAATTCGTTTCAACGCCTATATATATGAATGTGAAAAGTGAGAAATAATAAGTAACGGCTATTCGAAGGCCGATTCAGAAATGGACAGTCCAAGTAGAGCGGCCTAAGTGGGTTAAATTAATAAAAAATTTTTTTGCGGCTTTTGGTAGGTCAAACCATAATTTCTGAAGCAACGGCCAGTTTGAACCGTGGAAAATATGAAATGGCCAAAATCCTTAAATTGCAATGTGGGGTGGAAATAAAAAATAGATTATGATGGGAAAGATAATAGGGCTTCTAATGTGGTACAAATCGTATGAGATGCTGAAGAGTTATGTAAAAAGGAATGTGCAGAAGTTGGTCTGCCTGCATTTCATCCCCAAGCTATAAACACGCACAGTATAAGGTACGGAATATCAGAATTATTGGCAACAAAAGGTCGCAAGATCAAAGTAAAGAAAGATAAGGTAAAACATTCTGGTGAAAATTAACTAATATGTTAGACTTTCAGCAGCGAATTGGGGATGAATGGGTACTTCCCCTAATGATCAAACTGGAAAGAATATGAAAAAAAGACTAACAGGAAATTTTGCCTATTCCTTGAAACTTATCGTGATTTTAAGTTACTAATATTGACTGGGATATCCGCAAGTTCGCTTGAAATGAACAGCAGTTTCAAACAAACCTGTAAGAAATCCCCATTGTCGGTCACCGCATCGGGCAAAATTTCCGCTAACTCCTGCGCAATGACACCAACTCGATGTCGATTTTCTTCGGACAATCCCCATTGTAAGGCAATTTCGGGTTTGTAGGAATAGCCAACAACACGAATTTGCGAGAGATGTGACAATGCACTTTTGGTGTCCACCTGAAAAACAAATTTAAAAGAAACTTAACTGATTAGTGCAGTAAAATTTAGAATTAAAATAAAATCAAGGAACAATACTTGGCCACAGTAATCCAACACAGTACCCAAGATTATTGATGGAAAATTACTGTGGAATAAATTTTTTTTAGATGATGGTACTAGCACTCCTAGCATGTTACAAGGTTCAAACCACCTAGTTTTCAGTAGCTTTTGGAATTCGATAATTTTTTCCAAAGTTGGTCTAGTAGCAAAGGAAAGTATTGTAACTTGAAGCCAAATCCTAATGCTCAGAAAGCAGACTACAAAAAGCAATTTTGACAAAAAGGGTGAAATTCGCTTCAAAATTTGGCATGCAGATCTATAAAAGATGCAGCTACTGCCGCAAAAAAAAGGAGAAGAGGAAAAAAGCACAGACCTCACGAATTTCTTCTTTCATCCGACGATCCGATGGACGATGAACAACACCGGAGCAATAGATATCACCTCCGACGGTCAACGGCGCAACTGCCCGATCGGTACCAATCGCCACCGAACCACTATTATAGTACAGAGTGGAACCGCTCTTTTGCCATGTGGCATCCGAATCTGGCGGCTCGAACTGACCCGGATTTGAAGCCTGTAACAAACAAAAACGCGCTCGCACATACTTTTTTAGGATAAATCCTTCTTATCGATGAGTCAAACTGAGCTTTATTTTCTGCTCTGTAAACGAATTATAATCGAATCGACACATAACAAGATCAGGAACTGGTAATTCGGACTGCCCTGGTGAAAACGATGATAAAGCATATTTTGAATTACAATTTGATCGGCTACAATAAAGAGTTGGTCTTTCAACTAGCAACTGGTCCAGTTGCTTTGACCAGTGCTGCATTCCTGGTGGTCAGCTGCTGGCGATCTTGACGTTCGTTTTAGGTTCTCAAACTTGAAGA